ACACCTTAGTATTTTACTTCCTTACTGCGCCTCCTCTGAGTCTCGGTATGCTTTTCTCTTTCCTTCTAGTTGTAGAATTTCCACTCAGCCAGCCTTCCTGTGGTTCTGTGGTCTTTTAGTTGTATTTTTGAAGTGGGTGTTCGAGGCAACAAACTCCGGTGTTTATCTATGCCGCCACCTTGGTTTCTTCTGTATGTCCACTTTCGAAAAGTGTCTAGGTCCTTTGCCCGTTTTTGATTGGATTGCTTATCTTCCTTTTGTTAAGTTGTATGAGTTCCCTATAAATGTAGATTAAACCTTTATCAGATGTAACATTGTCCTAGGAGATATATCTGCAGGATAAATTCTTAATTCTTCCCCCACCTCCCTTTTCTAAACCAGTGTTCAGAATAATGAGTTGTTCTTTGGCATCTGCCAAAGATAATGATATGAGTCTTCTAGTTTTAGAATCATTATGAATGCAACATTTTAAAATTCATATGTAGCATGTTTTAATCCATTGATTTATTCTTTTTGATGCTCAAATTGTTCCGTCTTTGGCTAGTGGGAACATCTCCAAATTGGTCACTAAGTCCTTTGATACAATCCTAATAGTCTTTGTTAGTTTTTTTTTTCTTGCTTTCCCATATGACAAGATGGTCCAAGCCCTTCTTATGCATTTCTTACTCAGGAACTGGAGTCAGCCATTTTTCTAAAGAGCACTGGTTCTTTATAGTGAAAAACGATACTTTGAGACCACAATTGGCACTAGCCCAGCTAGTTCACAGCTATTGGGTTTGTTGTTATTTCTAGGTCTTTTCAGTGAACATAGGGAAATAAGATTTTTTTTAAAAAAAGAAAATATGTTGTGAGAACATGGTGACATTTCCAATTTAAATCTAGAACAGGGGTGGGCAAACTTTTTGACTCGAGGGCCACAATGGGTTCTTAAACTGGACCGGAGGGCCGGAACAAAAGCATGGATGGAGTGTTTGTGTGAACTAATGTAAATTCAAAGTAAACATCATTACATAAAAGGGTACGGTCTTTTTTTTTTTTTTTTAGTTTTATTCATTTCAAACGGCTGGATCTGGCCCTCAGGCAGTAGTTTGCCCACGGCTGATCTAGAATTACAAGGTTCTAAAAATATTTCCAATTTAAATCTAGAATTACAAGGTTTTATGTAAAAGTGCTTGTAGGAAGAATAAAAAATAAATGAAAAAAAAAGTAGCATGAGAGTTTCTTCTCTGCTCTGCTTCTAACTAGGATTCTGCTGGGAGAAGTAAGAGTGTTCACCACATATTTTCTCTTGAAGAGGATAATCAGCTCAGATTTGACCCTCTAGCATCTTTTATTCTTCTTACAGATCACTGCATGGTGGTGAGTAAATTCAACCTAATGATGTGTGTGTTTCTACTGGATTTGGTAGGTCCAAAATCATAAATAATTGTGTGATGAGAAAGCTGAACCTTATAAAAAAAGAAAAATTTAGTTATTCATCTAGAAGAATAAGATGTTTTTAAGTTGAAAGGCATAGACAAGTAATACCTGTTTTGGGATCTGTCTCTAACCAATGCCATTAAACCAGGATAACTAAAGGAATTATAGGGACTGTGTGTCCTACACAACAAACAACATGTGCTAAATGTAGAAGACTTGGGAATTTTAGAAATAAAGTGAAACCATTCCAACATCATTCTTTGATCACACTACCCAGTATAACCATTGTATTTGTCATTATGATACTCTGTTTTCTCGCATACACATTTGTATATGAGTTTTTAGTATAAAAGAGTAAGTAAACTTTTAGTTCTCTTTTGCTCTCTGATTTTTCCCATGGAGGAATTTGTTTTACTAGTATCTTATATCAATTTATATTATTTAATAACACGATATTGACTGCATTATATTGTCATAGATACACCTTAAGCATTGTTTTTTTAAATGTTTGAGACCAAGCATCCCTGTCTTACTACGGAAATGAGTCAGACAGAGATTGTAGGAAACACTCTCAGCAGGGGTAAGCATTTCCCTATTGCTGGGTGTTTGTTTCCAATTTTTTCCTCTACTATATAAATACTGCTTGTATCTAAGTTTTTGCATATAGTAGTTTTGGGGGATAAATTCCTAGAAGTGAATTGCTAGATGAAAGAGTTGACACATTATTCTATATACTTTACTTACTTATTATATAATTACATAAATTACTTATTATTTATTATATTCATTGTCTTTTTGTTTTTGTTTTTTGTCTATCCTCTTTTAGTAAAACATAAGCCCTATGAAGGCAGGGATCTTTATCTGGTATGCCTAACACCTAGTAGGCCCTCAATAAAGATTTCTTGAGCAAATAAATGGGTATATATATTTTTTTAGTTTTTAATATACACTGTCAAATAGTGTTCCAGAGAAGCTGTGGCAATTTATACTCTATTTCCCTCAGATCTCACCTATCCTGGGTATTAACATGAAATCTTCAAAAGATATACACTACAATGTTAAGAAGAAAATTTAAACCTTCTTTAATTTCACCTCCTCACACTTAAACTGTGAATTGATTATTATTTTAATTGGCTTTTATTACTTGTGTGATTGTGTTGTGTAAAACTATGACTAATGGGTATTTGTATCTATTTTTTACAAAATTTTTGTGTCATTTTTCTTTTGGGGATTTTTAATAACTACTTAGATCAGGGTTTGAAAACGTTGATGTTCTCTGAATTATCTGGGAATGTTAGTAAAAGGCATATTCTAATCAGTAGGGCTGAGGTGGGGCCTGAGGTTCTGCATTCCTAACAAGCTCAAGATGATTCCAAAGATGACCTTTGAGAAACAAGAATCTAAATTACATTTCTCTACTGTTAGTTAATCACCAAGTGAATGACTTCTTGATGGAGAAAGCAAAAAGAAAGTGCAGTCTCTGTTCACTCAGCTGCAGTGTACTGTGCACTGGTTTTTTTATTCTTATACAAATTTAATCAATTTTTAAAAATTGATTTCAAAGAGGAAGGGAGAGGGAGAGAGAGAGATAGAAACATCAATGATAAGAGAAAACCATTGATTGGCTGCCTCTTGTATGACCCCTACTGGGGATCGAGCCCGCAACCTGGGCATGTGCCCTTGACCAGAATCAAACCAGGGACCCTTCAGTCTGCAGGCCAACGCTCTATCCATTGTGCCAAACTGCCTAACCAGAATCGAAACTGGGACCCTTGAGTCCGCAGGCTGACGCTCTATCCACTGAGCCAAACCAGTTAGGGCTCTTACACAATTTTAAATAAAACAAAACAAAGTATGCTTCTCCTATAACAATGAAAATGGACTATTTTAATGTGATCATTTTTTATATCTGTATAAAATTACATGGTTTCAACATGGTGTAAGTATCCAAATTCTAAAAGAGTAATGCTGAGGCAACTTATAATTTTCTTTTTTTGATAGATCAGATGTTTGATTTTCTTTGGCTACATATTTTTCTTATATAGTCATTTCTGCTAATGATGTCATTTTCATTTTTGTTTATGAGGCCATTTTAAAAATCTTAACCAGAGCTGTGCCCATGTATCTATTTCACAGTAACACCTACTTCTCTGCAGGCCCGGGTCCTTTTTGTGCTGATTGTGCTGATCCAGCTCTTCATTCTCATTATTTATAGGCATCAGCGATATCTAGAGCTTAAAGGTTAGTCACGGTTTCTTTCATTCTTAGAAGACTTTATTTTAAAGTAGTACGTAATGTCCTCACTATTGCCAAATGATAAATATGAATATAAATATAAATTGTCTTTGCCTGAGCTCTGTGAGGTATACCCTTTCAACTACCACACATTTGCCACAGTACTCTAGCTTAAAAACCCCAACAAAAACCAAAACCTTTAATCACTTGCTGCTACAGGAGGCTCAACCAAAATGGGGGGGGGGGGGGGGGGGATCACAACATTTACCATATAGCTCAAAGTTGCCAAACATCTCTACTAGACATTGAAGTGTTACCTAACTAGCCATATTTTCACCCAGTTACCTGTAATATATTCTAGGTAATTATTCACTGTTCATACCATGCACATTTCTGCTTCTGCACTTTTGCCCAGGTCATCATCTCTAAATTGTTTTCCTAAACTTGTCTAATCTTAGCCTCCTTTAGGGCTCATCTCAAAACCACTTTTTCCATACCATTTTCTCCAACCATCCCAGGTCATAATGGGCTCTTGTTTCTCTAAGTCCCTATAGTCCTTCCTGACGATTAATTGATACATAATTAGCCAATCACTTGGCTTTACATAACCACTTCAAATGTATATACATTTTCTCCTCAGCCAAACTCTAAGTTCCTCAATGCAGGAGCCTTTGTTTTCTACTTCTTGTTTGTTTTCCACAGCACCCAGCGCCGAGTTGGTGCATAATAGACAGTAAATCCTTGTCAAATTAAACTTTCCTTATCTCTTCTTGGCTTGGGTGAAATTGCTGAGGTCAGGGACTGATTATGGGGGAGGGGAGAACTGTAGTAATGACTAAACAGTAACATGGTTAGCTGAATAGGTAGTGCACTACTGAATGTGGAGAGAGAGAGAGAGAGAGAGAGAGAGAGAGAGAGAGAGAGAGAGAGAGAGATAGTAAAACTTCTATGAAAAAGTTCCAGAAACATTGCCCACATATATTTTGCACATAATGTACATATATAAATATTTGAGGAAGGGCCCCAATCTCATTATGTGGGAATACCAATATCTTTGTGTAGTTATGTAAAATTTACAACATATTTTACCTGCATTATCTCACTTAATTCTTACAGCAATCCTGAGAGGTAGGAATTATTGTCCCCATTTTAAACATTAGAAAACCAAGGACTGGAGAGGTTATATAGATTGTCCAAAATGTCATAGCTAGTAAGAGACAGAGGAGAGACTTAAAACCCAAGTCTTCCAATCCCAGGTCAGTTTTTTTTTTTTAAATCCTCACCCAAGGACATTGTTCCATTGATTTTTAGGGAGAGTGGAAGAGAGAGAGAATGACAGAGAGGAATATTGATGTGAGAGAAACACATAGATTGATTACCTCCTGCACACACCTGACTAGGGGAGGAGCCTGCACCGGAGGTATGTGCTCCTGACTGGAATCGAATTCAGGACCCTTTGGTCCGCAGGCCAATGCTCTATCCACAGAGTCAAACTGGCTAGGGCCCCAGGTCAGGTCTTTTCTTTAAACAACACTTCACAACTTTGACTACACTTTAGAATTCCATGGGGAACTTAAAATCTCACTGTCTACATCAGAATCTCTGTAGGGATAGGACCTAAACAGTAGCTTTTGAAGCTCCTCTGGTTTCAGTATGCAGTTAAGGCTGAGAAGCATGGCTAAAGCAGTATTTCTTAGGCTACTTAGAATCACCTGGATTGCTGCCTAAGCTCCCCCTCTCCCCAAGGTCAATTAAATCAGAATCTCTGGAGGATGAGACCTAGGCCTGAGTATTTTCTAAAAGTTCCCCCAGGTTATTCTAATGTGCAGCCCAAAGAGAGAATCATTGCTTGAAGTCTAAAGTATAGCTGCCTCTAAGGTTAAAGGATTATTTATTTACTAGAGGCCCATTGCACGAAGAGATTCGTGCAATAGGCCTTCCTTCCCCTGGCTGCCGGCACCAGTTTTCCTCCGGTACCTGGAACCCAGGCCTTCGCTCCGGCCACGGTGGAGAAGGCAAGCCTATTCAGTCTTCAGTCGTCTTCAGTCTTCAGTCTTCAGTCTTTGCTCGGGCTAGAGCCTTCAGTTTTCACTCTGCGCCTGCATATGCAAATTAACTGCCATCTTTGTTGGGTGAATTTACATAGTCATCCTGATTGGCTAGTGGGCGTAGTGGAGTGATGCCAATTTGCATGTTTCTCTTTTATTAGTGTAGATAATAAATATCCACCTATAACTATTATTATAGGTGGATATGTATTACTACTTTGAGAAGTACCAGGTTAGGACAAGAAGGAAGCTGAGATAGGAATGAGTAGCAAGTGTGTAATACATAAAGGGAGAAAAGTTATACATTATCACGTTTTGTATGAAATTAACTGTCAGCAGGCTGAATGATGTTATATGCTAGTCTGTGAAGAAAGACATACTAATTAACTTACATCAGGCTGTCTTACCATTGGGATCAGTTCTCTAAATACTTTCCACCTCTAAGATTGCTCAGTGTGCACTGAGCTTCCTATCATAGTCTTCTGCTGCCTGATTTATGATCAGCCACATAATGAGTGGAATGGCTGGCTGGGGTTGAGGATCTGGAATACTTAGTCTGTGGCCACAGAATGGACCTTCTCTGTGTCAAGCCCTTAGACTTGGGCTTTTTGGTACTTTATTTTAAGAGATGCTCATTTGGAGAGCTTTATGGATCCCTTTCAATTGTAGTAAGAGGATAGCTGGGAGTTAAGAGTTGTATCACATATAGGAAAGGAATATTTGAACAGATACTCATACTTAAGATTAGACTGGAGAAATGTATTTCTTTGATATGCCTTTGATATATTTTGACATACCTTTTGGAAGTTTGTACATTTGGACATTAAATCCCCTAGAAAACAAAGACTTGAGTATAGATTTGTATTTCAAACACACATGAAGATAAACTAGTATCATCCTCTGGTGGGTCTTTCTTTTTTTAAAAATCTTTATTATTGAAACTATTATATATGTCCCCCATTTTTCCCCAGTGACCCCTTGTAGCCCTCCCCCTGGCAGGTATTTCTATATTGTTTTCAGTCATTTTAAAGTGTGTGTTCGCGTGCACACTCCTCACAATTATACCATTGCTTTGAATTTCTCACCCTCTGCAATTCTAAGTGAATTGGCTCATCAGAATTCCCGCCAACTCATAAATTTAAAGTGGTGTCATCTGTATAGTTACCATATAACAACATATTTGCTGAATATATAGGATAGCCCATGGAAGTCTTCTTGAAAAATGTTATAAAGAAATTAAACTTTGCGTATGTTCATTGGATTTTTCAAATTTATTCTCTTTAGGACCTCCAGGATTTATAAATTTGACCTCATTTTCCCTTCATGTCTTGAGCAAAATAAACATCTTCTACTATTCTGTCTTGTTCCTGACTCTATATACAGTGCTGGGTAAGTCAATTAGGAAACCTGAGATTGTAGAGCAATCAGTAGAATCATTTAGGCCAGCTGTGGGCAAACTACAGCCCGCAGGCCGGATCCGGCCCATTTGAAATGAATAAAACTATTGAAAAAAAAGACCGTACCCTTTTATGTAATGATATTTACTTTGAATTTATATCAGTTCACACAAACACTCCATCCATGCTTTTGTTCCGGCCCTGCGGTCCAGTTTAAGAACCCATGGTGGCCCTCGAGTCAAAAAGTTTGCCCACCCCTGATTTAGGCTCTGTAGAGCATAACAAACGGCACATGGTTCCTTGATAAGTCATTTCCTTGGATATGGTCTTGGGAAATAAAATTGTTTTTTAACGTGTTTAAGGGACATTTAGTTTACTTAAGAGTGCTAAGGAAACCATTGCAGAATTTGTGTAGAAACTTAATAGGAGATAGTTCAGCTTAATTGCCATCTCTTCAAAGCAGCCTTTTTTGACTACCTTCAAGTTTTATCCTCTATTTCATCATGCTTTTTATTTCCTTCATTACTTTATCAGAATTTATGATTATCTTCTGTGTTCATCATCTTTTCCCTTATTATAATATCCATTGATGTCTTTTCTCTCTTGTTCACCTTTATATCCACCACTAAGAACAATGCCTAGCATATAGTTCAGTGAATAATTTATTAATGTGTTGCTCCTAAAAAAGAAAAGAAACTGAGATGAGCAGTGAGTTTAGTTATATCTGAAACTCTTCTGTATATTAATTATTATACCCAATACTTATAAAGTCACTTAACCACTTATGGAAGTAGAAAGCACTGAGTTGTTTTTTTTAAGCTTCTTACTAATGTACCTTACTGACTAAAAATAAATTAGGCTATTTGTAGCTTAGTCTTTGTTTTACACTTTTATTCCACTAGAGAACACAAAGTAGTAAAATAAAAAATATGACATTTTACCATCCTATATAATAAAGAGCTAATATGCTAATTAGACCAAACAGCAGAATGACCATCCGGACGACCTTGCAGAGGAAGCTGGGCCCTGAAGCTGGGCTGCAAGGGCCGAGCCCCTTGCACAGATTTCGTGCACAGGGCCTCTAGTACTATATAACAAGCTATAGCAGATTCCCCTTTGGAAGTCAGTTTTCTTGTTTGTTGAAGCTGATTTGGACACATGTCTTACCCTGGAAGACAAAGCAAGTGATTTGGTTCCTGGCTGTGAAAGAAAACATGGAGAGGGCAGAAGTTGCTTCATTTTTAAAAGTTGAAACTTCAAGGGAAAACACTTTTTTAGATGAATATGTATCTAATGGAGTTTATTATTAATGTATCTGAGAAAAGTACCTATGACTTTTTAAAAGCTGAAGTCTAGTCTTACCAGCAGATTATAGTATTGCATTTTAAGAAAGGGAATCTGACAGTCCCTTAATCACTCTTTACATATAGTAGTTCCAGGCACCTGCATACTGAGAATGGGCAGTAAATAATAGTAGGGAGGAGGAGAGAAAAGTCATTCTGGTATTATAGGTGAAAAAATAAAAAAGCAAGTTAAATTCTGTTCATGTTCACCCTGCCTGTATAGTTGATGTATAAAGTAATGACTATGGATCAGCAAGAAAAGGTAAAATATTAATAATCATTGACATTAGTAATAAAGAGAAGTACGTTTTAGAAAGATGAAAGTGGTTGAAGTTTTATAGCTTAAATGAATAAATCTCAGTCATCTAGAAGATTAACTTTTGAGGAACACCTCTTTGCTTCTTAGAGGAAATGTTAATGAATTGTATTGACGTAATTACTGCAACAGAATCTCCTAACATTTGTGAATACACTCCTGTATGTTTCTGGAATTACAAGCTACATATCTTGTCCTGGTATAGTATGTACTCAGACGATTTCATAATCCAGAGAAATATGGAGTAAAGGAGCAAATAGTTAGTTGGTTAGCTAGGATATCGGGTGCAGCATAGAGATTAGCAAAGAAAAAAAGCTATGTAAATAAAATGCTTATAGATGACTAGTCTCATATTTCTTCGTTATTCCTGCAAATGCATCTTGTGACGTATGTAATTAGAGTCATAGTTATTTAATCTTCCCTCTCCACTGCTTCTTCAGGACCATGGTTCATTGGTGAAATTACTAAAGGCAAAATGGGTTGCTGCTTTTCCTTTGGGATCTTTGTTGATGGGCGTTTCCTACAAGGCAGTTTAACATTTGTGGTTGGAATTCTCCAGGTAAGAAGTCAGAAGAGCAACTTAAGAACATCTTGACTTTATCAGACTAATTGTGTAACACTTAAGAATTAAATTCAAAATCCCAAATTAGATACCATAGATCAGTGATGGTGAACCTATGACAGAGGTGACACGCGAACTCATTTTTTTGGTTGATTTTTCTTTGTTAAATGGCATTTAAATATATAAAATAAACTAGGGGCCCGGTGCACGAAATTCGTGCACTTGGTGTGTGTGTGGGGGGAGTGTCCCTCAGCCCAGCCTGCCCCCTCTCACATACTGGGAGCCCTCAGGCGTTGACCCCCATCACCC